GCTCAAAAAGGTTGCCTACCCCTGCTCTAAAGCCTTGTTAGAGGGCATCTTTTCATTGATGGGAAAGCCATCATTGTCAATAAGTGGCCGATCATGCTGCCACCCCATTCCTCCATAAGTGCGATAGGTTGCTCCCGTGGCAGTTCTGATATTAGGCAGTCCACATGGAGCAGTCTCTCCCACTTACCCTCCTCCTCACTACTCCCAAGCAGCCTGTTTTCTTCCCTGACACACTTTTTTACTTCCTTTTCTTTTCTTTTCTTTCTTCTTCTTTTTATTAAATCACATTCCAGTTATGTCACAACATAACTCTGAAATTGCATTACAAATAAAAATAAAAATAAAGATCCTGAAAGGCATGCTAAGTAGGATATAGGAAAGGAAGGCAGGGTAAAGGGGGAATGCAGAAGAGACCATGAGGGACCTTCAGTGGCACAGAAAGCCCCAGTTGCTCAATTGAAGAGATGTGAAATAATAAAAGCTCCAAAACCAGTATGCTTCTGTTCTCTTTAAATAATGCGATTGCAGCAAAACTGAAGCAAGAACAAAGCTCATAACATCTTATGGCAAGAAGCTCTGCAACATTTGCTCTTCAGACATGAAGGAGCAACAGAAAACTGTAGAGTACAAAATAGAGGGAGAAAAATTTCAAATTTACTAATACATAAAGAGAGAAGATGTGATTAAGACCAACAAACAGGAAATGACATGAATACATGTCGTGTCTAAAGAGACATGAAAACTAGTAGATACTGAGTTCAGTTATGCTTAGGTTGCTACCTCTAACAGTGCAGTGAATTTAGGGCACAATTTTCTTTCAGGATCCACACATAAATGGGGGTGGGATCCCCAAAATAAAACAAGGCAATCAGAAAGTGCATTTCTGGTTTTTAAAAGCTTGATATTTTAATTGTGGTATTTAAGTATGGCAGGGATGCAATGCATTTTAAATTGCTCCTAGCTGTTTCCAGGACAGGTGATTTGCAGGATCTTACAAGTGGAAGGGTCTACAGCAGGGGTAGGCAACTTTTCTGAGACCTGGGCCAGTCTCCCGTAGCCCAG